CCAGAATTGGACCCATAAAGACGTCCATTGAAGGAGGTCACATGATGAGATCACGGGAAGGGGGGGGGCTCTGAGATGGAGGGGAGATGAACCAAGCAAAATGAAATGTTTTAGTAATTTCAAAAATGTGCTGAAGGTATGCAAATACACTGAGCAACAAGAGAAACAGATGCAAAGGGAAATGTTGACATGAAAAATGTCATCACTGGTTGCAGATGACCTGCAAACACTGATATATAATCATTATTGGGAGCCGTCTTTAAAAATCTTTGACGCTATCTTCCAGTCTTTGCTATTAAAGCTGTTGCATCTCCAGCCAATAATTAGAATTCAGAGTCCTTTTGTAATTCAGGGTGGAGTGTGCACGTTAGAGCTCTTGAAGATGGTGTTCTCTGTGTGTGTGTGTTCTTCCTGATTTCCATCCAGTTCAATGTGTGACGGCCATTGTTTGGTTCTCTGCTCTCAGAAGGCTTCAGGCGCCACAAAGCTCACTTTGTCCCAGTTTGTAGGCCAGATCCTGCAGCTGGGAGTCTGTAGGCAACGAGACCCTCTGTGGTCCAGGAGAACCAATGGAGGCGGGAACTGAAACGTTTCCACCTGTCAGTCTGAGAGCAGAGCTCAGACGGGGCGGGAGGTTCATTCAGAGGTTCTCTGGTCTGATCCACCAAGGTTCTGCTTTTATCCAAGGTGATCATGGGTGTTTTTATGGAGTGAATTTTGTTCCATCATTATTAAAGGAAAAAACACACATTTTGTAAATGGAATTTGAAAGTAATGCAATCTTCCTCGAGTGATTGAGACACCCCCCCTCTGTTATTGACATTTATGCACTTTTTCTGCACGTCACTATCACTATATATATATATATAGGGTGGAACGGTTCACAAAATCCACGGTTGGTTCATGGTTTCGTGGTCACGGTTTTCGGTTCGGTTTATTGTTACATCGAAAAATAAAATTTTTTATAAAAATTAATGAAAAAGTAAAAATGTATCTATATATATATATATATATATATATATATATATATATATATATATATATTAGGGATGGAACGGTTTATGAAAACCGTCCAAACCTTTCGGTTCGACTGTCTCGGTTCGGTTCGCTGCGTTCGGTTCATGCGCTGCTCCTTTTTCTCATAGGCGAAGCGTTTACACTCCAGAGCAGAAGGTGGCGGTACTGCGATCAAAGCCAACCACCAGTAGTAAACAAGAAGAAGAAGAAGCGAAGCAGCGTAGCCGGGTGTAGCAGAAAAAAATCAGTTGTTGTGGAGAATTGTGTGGTTATGGCGAGTGGGAAAGAACAGGAGTTGGAAGACGCGCCAGCAGCACTTTATAGGTCTGCTGTATGGGACCGCTTTGCATTTAGAGTGACCTACGATGACGGCGGAAAGAAAGTGGTGGATAAAAGTGCAACAGTGTGCAAGCATTGTGCAACACGTTTTGTTTATGCTAACAGCAACACGACCAACATGTCATGCTAACCCCAAAATCCCACATAATCCGTCAGCGCTCCGCCCCGCTGCGCTCCAGACCGCCTGCACAAAGCAAAGCCTACAGCCTCCACTGTGGCTCCCGTCCGCTCCGCTCTGAGTTCCTTGGAGATCGTAGAGGGTATGCGCCAGATGATTAAATTCAAAGCAGCAAAACATGTGGAAATAATCCATGGTTTCCGAGAATCATTAAAAATAATTACAATTCATTCATTTTTTTGGATTATTTCATAAATTTTTATTTTTTCATACATTTTTATAATTTTGATAATTTTTTTTGTAACAAAAAATATATATTGAACCGAACCGTTGAATTTGTGAACCGTTCCACCCCTTATATATATATATATATATATATATATATATATATAACTGTAAATGGAGCGTGTAACAAAAGTATTTTGCCTCTGGGATTATTAAAGTATTTCTGATTCTGATCTAGAAATGGAAATTTTTATAAACGCTTTAATTAAAAATAAGGTTTTAAGAGTAACTGCTATCTTCTCTGAAATGTAAAATTCTTTAAATCAAGTAAAACGTTTCTTTAAACTTGAGTCATGTTTAATTTCTTTTCATTAAAATTCTGCTTTTGTCAGCAGAAAATGTCCCTTAGCTCACCCCAGCCCTTTCTTAATGCAAGGTAAATGTAAAGTAGCAGGTATTCGCAATTTCAGGTTACACATCCATTTTACAACCAATGCATGAGTGAATAGACTTTTTAGGGCATTCTTCTTGCCCTTCATCTCTTGTCCTGATTTGGTGTTAAAAAAATACTCTGAACAGGATAGTATTCCCTGTAAAAAGGTAAACGTGGCGTAGTTTCCACAGTTACCTTAAAGCAGAAAGGTTTTGTGTCAGGAAGTATTCTGTTCTTTCCTCTGGAGTCGGGAGCGAAGACTCATTTGTATTTGTTTGCATGGATATAAGCAACACCTTTAGTGGTCAAGAGCGAGCTTTTATATTGGCCTTAAAAAGGAAATTGTGTCATCTTTAATACAAAAATTGCAATAAATCAAAATTAATCTGAAAGAAAAAACAAAATCTGTGAAAAAACAAAGCAAGGAAAGTTAAAATGCAGATTTTGGTAAAAAAATAAATAAATAAAAAAGCCTTATAATAAACTTTGGAGAATGAGATTAAGATTTATTTTCTTGCTTCTTCATCTGAACGAACATTGGGACTTGATGATGGATGATTTCTACCTAATTAGCTGTTCTCTGCATCACAGCAGGCAGTTTTTCACCCGCCCACACAGTAGCTCCTGTAGCTTTTTGCTAAATAATTATTTTTCTTGAATTATGAAATGAGTAATTTACATTCTGAATGACATCAGCATTGACAAACCATTTTAAAGCCAAGCATCAAAATTCCTACTTGCTCATGAGTCTATTAGGAAAGTAGTTAATGTGGACTATGTGGTGATGAGACGCTGTCGCTGCAGCCTGTCTGACATGAAGAGTCCCCGTTCTGTAGACGTACAAGGAATGCTCTCTGCAGAGCTGTTGGTACCCGCAAACATGTCATTACACGCTTTGCGTCTAGTCACAGGCGAATCCTGTTTGACAGACTCAGTCATTCTTCATATGGGGGGGGTGCGTCTGCAGAGATTATCAGCCACAATGACAGATTGTTCTGCTGCAGATAACAAACATCACATGAACTTGAATGCAGCAGATAAGCTGTGCAGTCCTGGTGGAGAACAAAAACAGGAGGAATCACGGAGAACGTTTGGGTCCGTTGGCTGCAGTAGAGCATAGGAAGTAGGGGTGTAAATTAGGGATGCACGATATTGGGATTTTGGCCGATATCCCATATGCCGATATTTTAAAACTCATGTAGCCGATAACCGATATCGATACCGATGTTAAAGCTGGACAAAAATAAGTAGTCATTGAAAATAGCAGTTTTGTTATCCATTTCTGACACTTTGAAAAATAATATACTCAAATATATTCTCATATGCTGATATCAAATAGATTTTTAAAAACGCGGTATCGATCTATTTTAATTTCAAAATCTCGTGAAATTTCATCGTTCTGTTACAAACTCTCGTGATATTTTGCAAATTCTTGTGAGATTTTGTTAGTAAAATAGATCGATACCGCGTCAATATATCAACTTATAAAAATATGGCAAAATTTTGTGAATTTTTGGGGGATTTCGTAGCATAACGATGACATATAGCAATATTTCATTAGTAAAAGAGATTGATATGGTGTTTTTAAATGGCAATATATCATCATATGAAGATATTGGGATATTTTAATGGATCAATATTTTTTCCCTCGTCTTTAGAAGTTTTTAAGTCTGTAAAAAAAGAAGTTTTTGAGGAAGAAGAAGAAGTAGTATTTTTTATTTTTTTTTTAGACTTTAGAAACTCAGAAGCTGATCAAATATCGGGTTAAATATCGGTGGGGTGGCCGATGTCCGATATTCAGTTTTAAGGCCGATGCCGATAGGGGGCCGATTATATCGTGCATCCTTAGTGTAAATCACACCTATCGTTTCGATTCGGTATCGATTTCCTGACCCGGCGATTCGATTATTTTCGATACTCAAGAATACACTTCGATTCGATTAATTGGTTCCATTTTTTATTTATTTATTTATTTTTTACACCTTACAGGCTAGACAATGTTTCAAATTTGAAATAAATTAATGAAAGCTGCAATAACGTTATGCCTTTTTTTTTTTTTTAAGAAACAACAGCAAATAACATAAGTCGAAAAGTGACACTCCACCTATTCCTATTAAAACCTCATTCACTGAAAAATAATAATACCCCTGCGTTATAGATTCTGAAAGGCCTTGCATCAGAAAATCCTGCACAAAATCAGTGCAATGAGAGCAATGCAATACCTCGGCTCCAGACGTCCCGCCCCCTCCACAGACGCTCCGCTGCACCTCTACCAAATTGTAGCTGACAAGAGACAGTGCCGCAGACAGGATCCCGGCTTGTTTTGTTTTTATGTCCGAAATTGCGGAAAACAACTCGTGAAGTTTGACCCGCTAGAAGAGCGAGGTGCGCGAGAACGCTGGGACCCTTTTCCACATGGATCTCCGCTCTTTTTGGCCCTCATGTCCCTCCGTCGTCTGCCTAAACTCGCCCCCACTTCCTCACCGCCTCGGCCGTATCTAGACCCACAGCGTGTAGCGCAGACCACGCTTCAATATTGTGCATAAATCAAAAATGTCTGCATCAAGCTCACTGCGACATTCTGCAGTAAGAATATAACCAGGAAGCGCGGTAGGAGGGCAAAATAGGTTTAGCGCCACCGCAGCACGGGAGGGAGAATTACGTCCAAAAGCAAGTGGATAAAAATAAAAACATGAATCGATACTCTTGCGGACGTATCTATGCATCGGAGCGTCGGCTGTTGGATCGATGCATCCATACGAAACGATTATTATTTACACCCCTAATAGGAAGGACCAAAACCAACCCGATTGTGTTCGGGGGGGGAATAATAGCCAATTCTTAGCCTGTGTTCTCTGTGTCCTGCAGTGTTTCCCGTGTGGAGGGGAATAGGGGCCAGTAGCGCCGTCGGGTGGAGCCAGGGCTGGGGCCGCTGCCTGAGATGGGAGCCGGACAGCAGAGACCGGGGCACCAGAATCCCAGTGTTCGACTACCCCGTCTGGTTGGTGTTCTGCCGCCGAGGGCGTGCCAGGCTCAGGGAGGCGTGTCAGAGGGGCAGAGGTGCCATCAGACTGCCCACAGACCTGCTGAACTTAAAACTGCCCCAGCTCTTCGACATCCATCAGGTTCCCAAGGTAAGAAAAAACAGAAGGCTCCACTATCAGTAATCCTGTCTTTCTTTTTTCTCCTGCAGTAGATAAAAGGAATCCTACAGTTAGCCACGGCCGTGTAGGATGTCTTTGAAAGTCGCGCATCTTAATAAAACACTGAAAGCTGAACGACCCTAATTAGATTCTCAAAAGACTTAATCTGACTCCTTTTGAGGAGCATCTACTCAACTTTGAAGTAACTGGGATTTCTCTGTGTAGATGAGAAGTTTCTGTGCTTTCTACATAACTTTTCTTGCCATTGGAGTTGATTCTCCACTAACCTGTCTGAGATGAGGAGGAATCTTACACATTACACTAAAGCTGGGCATATTTTCAGTTGTACTCAGCTACAAATCAAACTGTAAGACGAAACCGCACACTGTAAAAATGATCTAGAAATAACAATTTTTTTTTTTTTATTAAGTGTGTTTACCCTTATTTTGTGTAGGTAAATTAGATAGTTTGCCAATTGAATGAGTAGTTTTTCTCTTAAAATAAGATAATTAGACAATATGCACTTCAAATAAGACAATGGAATTGTGTTTTGTCTTATTTTAAGTGTAAATTGTCTTGTTCCATTAGCAAAATGTCTCTTTTACCTCCTCAATCCAAGAACAAATGCACTTATTTTAAGAAAAAATGACTTATCTAGATTTAGATTTTTTTCCAGTGCACAGTTTAAAAGTTCACAGCTCATGATGCGATCTACCTGCTCACACTGTACGTCCAAAAACCACACTGCAAAAAATTTAAATCTAAATAAGTAAATTGAGTAGGCAAAAGAGACACTCTGCCAATGGAAAAAAAACAATTACACTGTCTTATTTTAAGTGTATATTATCTAATTATCTTATTTTCAGAATACAAATACTCATTCTATTGGCAAATCATCTTATTAACCTACTCAAATTAAGAGTAAATAAGGGTACATTTGTGAATTTTGTACTTATTTTTAAGACCGCTTTTGCAATGCACACATTGGACTCGGCAAAGAGAGATGGCCGCCATGCTGGTCAGACTCGCCATTCTCGAAGAAAAAGAGAAATTGGCTCATAGCTCTGCTTCAACAGAAGGATTTGTCCAAGAACTCCTCACGACGGTTTGATTTTCTCCCGACATTACGATTCCTGATGGGGAGGTGGTCGTGAGAGGCTACTCGCCCCTCGTTACCCCCTGTACACTACAGGCTACATGATCAGGCTGAAAGTCGGCACGATCGAAAAAATTCTTGCACGACTGGAAAATCGGCCTGATGAGGGCAAAAAAAATCATACAGTGTACGCCCAACTTAACCCACTGCAGCCTTTAGTTGCCTTTTCATAAATCTCATAACGACCAATAATTGTATTATTATTTTTAGTTTGAGAATAAAAATTTGCGTTCAACTTGATCAATTATATTCATTTGACCTGAGGTAAAACAGCCAGCATGAAAATGAAGAAAGGTTGAATATCTTAGCTACGTGAGACCATCCTGATCTCGCGAGCTTTCAAGGTTTCACTCGCAGATTAGGGATGGAACGGTTTTTGAAAACCGTCCGAACCGTTCGGTTCGACTGTCTCTGTTCGGTTTGCGTGTGTTTCGTTCGGTTCATGCGCTGCTCCTTTTTCTCATAGGCGAAGCGTTTCCACTCCAGAGCAGAAGGTGGCGATACTGCGACCAAAGCCAACCACCAGTAGTAAACAAGAAAAAGCGAAGCAGCGTAGCCGGGTGTAGCAGAAAAAAATCAGTTGTAGTGGAGAATTGTGTGGGTATGGCGAGTTGGAAAGAACTGGAGTTGGAAGACGCGCCAGCAGCACTTTATAGGTCTGCTGTATGGGACCACTTTGCATTTAGAGTGACCTACGATGACGGCGGAAAGAAAGTTGTGGATAAAAGTGCAACAGTGTGCAAGCATTGTGCAACACGTTTTGTTTATGCTAACGGCAACATGACCAACATGTCAGGCTAACCCCGAAATCCCTCATACTCCGTCAGCGCTCCGCTGCGCTCCAGACCGCCTGCACAAAGCAAAGCCTACAGCCTCCACTGTGGCTCCCGTCCGCTCCGAGTTCTTTGGAGATCGTAGAGGGCATGCGCCAGATGATTAAATTCAAAGCAGCAAAACATGTGGAAATTATCCATGGTTTCCGCGAATCATTAAAAATAATTACAATTCATTAATTTTTGGGGATTTTTTCATTAATTTCATTTTTAAAAAAAATTTAATTAATTTTTATTATTTTTTATTTTTATTTTTTTCGGTGTAACAATAAACATATACCGAACCGAACCGAAAACCGTGACCACGAAACCGTGAACCGAACCGAACCGTGGATTTTGTGAACCGTTCCACCCCTATCGCCGATCAGTCTGGCTCCTTTCCGTTAAAGAAAATTTGGAGCCGTTCACCAAACGAACGTCCAATCAGCGTTGGCTTTGAGGCGGGTTGAGGTGTGACGCAATGAGAAACGCAACAGTTCAGTCTAAAGAACATGGCGGCTTCAGCCAATGAAACTAGCGTTAGCGTGGCTATCGAGCAAGTTTTATCGGAATTACAGAGTATTTCTTCACTGAAAGAAGAGCAAAACACTGCTCTGGAGGCTTTTCTCAGAGGAAAAGATGTTTTTGCTCTTCTCCCGACTGGTTTCGGCAAGAGTTTGATCTATCAATTGGCTCCTCTTCATCGTCGCTCTGTTAGTACATCATATGCTTCGTTGATCTGATTGGTTTATTTGGCCCATCTATCACCAACATAGGCCAATCAGCTAACCAGTATTTTCGCCCCTTCCCAAAATTACTTCAACGGAAGGTTTCCAGATGGATATGCGGAGCAAATCCATCTGGCAGAGTCAGGTTACGAATATCTACCTTTTTTCTTCTTCTTTTTTAGCCAAAACTCCATAAGCTTAATACATCAGATGTAGAGCATCTACCATCTAAATGTGTAAAACATCAGTTTATTTCCAGGTAATATTATTTACTCATGTAGAAACTGAAATAATGAGGTAGTTTAACAATAAAAGCTGGCTGTAATTTTAGACAATAAGTTGGCTGAGTAAAAGGATTTTTCATTTAATTTAGAGAATAAGTTCAAAATGATTTACTTTACATTCTCACTGGGAACATAAATAGCTTCTTACTTTAAATTGGTAATTGAAACAGAATCTTTAGTCACATTGAAATCAAGGTATTCAGGCATATTTAAGAGACTTAAATACTAATATTGTTTAGCTGAAATTTCGAAATATGTAGCTTCAAAGAATTTGCTGACAGAATAAATGCAGGAAGTCTGATTTGGAACTGGGAAAACAAAAGTAGTGGATCTATCTTAATACATCCATCTCTGATACACATATCTTTCTATAATGAATTCTTCCTAACAATATAATTTTGAACATTATTGTATGACGAAAGTAATAGAAATGTGATTTGATGACGGAAAAATGGTTTTGACCTTTTTATAGTTTGTTGAATGGCTTTTAAGGGTATCGCATCAGACGGCTGACATATCAGGGTCTGGCTTCAGCTGGACAGGAATGTGGTAGCTGTTGACAGGAGCCGGGGGCCTGCGGCTCTAGCATCTGTGTTGGCCGCCATCCAACATGCTGCTATCTCTTCAGTCCATTTTGGAAGCAGTTTTTACATTAGATTTCCCAGTCACGCAAAATCTTCAACAAACTGGACGTCCTTCTACGTTTCAAGGACTTGTTTCCATTCGCTTCTTCTAATCTCTGATTAAGTTGAGCATCATGAGCTCTGATGAAGTACGTTAATAAAACTGGCCTTGAGATAAGCTGGTAGCCTCCAAATTAAATTACATTTTATCTGAATCACTAGATTATTATAAGTGTTGCTGCTGCTTCTAAGAATCGAAGTGGATACCAGCACGTGCTTTGCAGCTAAGATTTACATTCACTGTAACGTCAAAGGCGTGAGTGTTCAAATATAAGGGTAATTATAATAAAGGAGGGAAATAAGTCTTTATTTTTATAGTGCCAGTTCATGAAAAGTGATAACAAGGCACTTTACAGAGACAAATCAAATTCATAGTCAGATTGGTTAAAACTTTTCTATCCAAGGAAATGCAACTTATGGAAGATAACGTAAATTAAAATTGAAGGTTGCTGAAAAGTGGTAAAATGGAACAGGGTTGTATGGAAATGGTGTTATTTCTTCACATTCAATACCATATGTCTGCACAAGGTCTAAAGAATGAAGATGACAATGTGTGGGTCCATGAACATTTTGTACAAAGCCAATTGAGATGGCATTAAAGACTGCGTTTCAGCTATCACCTTCAATGTCAGCATTGATGTTAAAATCACCCATTATAATGACCCTGTCAGTATTCAACAATAAATCAGATAGGAACTCTGAAAACTGGTCTAAAAATTAGTAAAGGCCTGGTGGACGATGGAACAAGTTACAAAGAATTGGGGGAAACAAAGGATTAAAAGTTCATGCAAATTGTAACTATTAACTGGCTTTGGGCTAATCGGTAAATTGGACTTAAAGCTTTTTGCAACTCCTACATCGCCCATAATTTCTGGGTATTTAAACATTTAAAAAGGTGAAGTGAGTTGTTTCATATATGAAAACATAATCCTTTTGTTGCAGCCAGGTTTCTGTAAGACAACAAAACTCAATTTGATTAGTAAAGGGGAAATTATGAACTAGCAAAGTCTTGAGGAGGTAGATCTTATTTTAAATAAATGACATTTGTTTTATTTGGGTTAGCATGATTTAGCCTTTTAGCATCATTATGTTATTATTTGATTTTGGTCATTGGCAAGACACTCTGATTGGAGTGATAGGTGGGTAACATCATATCAGCAGCAGATAGGTATGTTAAACTATAGACCCGTTTACACTACTCTTTCGAAACCGTGCCGTAATCGGTCCGAGCACGGTAACCGAGATAACTGTTTAGTGTAAATGACACACAAAACTGAACAGGACCGTGCCAGACACAACCGAACCGCACTAACATGGTACTAGCTCATCAGTAAGGCTCGTCGCGATTCAGTTCCGGCTCGGTTCTCAGATAACAAAGAGCACATGAGCAGGCCGCGTCATCTCCTTACAGTCAGCCTCCGTATTTTGGAAATTTCAGACAATTATAAAAATACTAGCTCCCCTATCATGCCACATGATTTCCAGTGATGATTCCGCTTAGCAGTGTGATGAGCCTCAACGTCTATAGTTGTTTCCTGCGTCTGTAAGCCCTGGTTAGACTATCATTTGTCTTATCAACTTCCCAAAAGCGACTCTGTAAAGTAAATTCACCAAAGGCTGCCTGCGTTTAGCCTCGTGAGACCATCCTGATCTTGCGAGCTTTCAAGGTTTCACTCGCAGATCAGGATGGCTACTTTCCGTTAAAGAAAATTTGGAGCAGTTCACCAAACGAACGTCCAATCAATGGCTTTGAGGTGGGTTGACGTAACGAGAAGCGCGACAGTTCAGTCTAAAGAACATGGCGGCTTCAGCCGATGAAACTAGCGTTAGCGTGGCTATCGAGCAAGTTTTATCGGAATTACAGAGTATTTCTTCACTGAAAGAAGAGCAAAACACTGCTCTGGCGGCTTTTCCTAGAGGAAAAGATGTTTTTGCTCTTCTCCCGACTAGTTTCGGCGAGAGTTTGATCTATCAATTGGCTTGTGCCTGGCTTGTGGTTGTGTTTTCGTCGTCGCTCTGTTAGTACGTCATATGCTTCGCTGATCTGATTGGTTTATTTGGCCCGTCTATCACCAACATAGGCCAATCAGCTGACCAGTATTTTCGCCCCTTCCCAAAATTACTTCAACGGAAGGTTTCCAGATGGATATGTGGAGCAAATCCATCTGGCGGAGTCAGGTTAGCCTGCATTGCCTGACTCTCCGCAAACAACGAAATATCGCAATTATAACCAAACTTCCTGAATGTTACGGGCGCCGGCATGCTGATTTGATTGTTTACCTCTAGAGAGCAGTAGTACCATAAATCGTCACTAGGAGGGGAGGAACTGTGTTAGCGTGGTGTTTAAACGGTCGTAAGGAACTGAGCTCGGCACAGTTCCGGATCAGATCGGTTTTCAAAGGGTTGTATATATGTCTTTGCTTCCTGGTCTGCACCCTGGGATGAATCACTTTAATATTTTATGACATTTGAGTTTAACTCTGACGTTGATATAGGACTGAAACTAACAATCCTTTTGCAAATCGATTAATCTGTCAATTATTTTTTTGAGTCGTTGATTAAAAATCCAATAGCAAAAGTTTCCTTAAATAAGATTTTTTTTACAGAATTAAACTAAAACTTTTCCACTTGAGGGGGTCTGGATAGAGCATGTTAACAGATGAAAAAGATTTTTTATCTTAAATGCAAAATGTTTACGTATAATATTCTTTTTACAATTTTGATATGATTACTGATATAAGTGGGTGGCCATTAGGGGTGGGTATTGCCAAAGAAGACACGATTCGATTCAAATCACGATTCACATGCCACGATGCAATTCTAACACGATGCATCACGATACTTGAAATATAGAGATGCATTGCATTTTCACTAAACACTGTTAGAAAAAAATACAGCCTTATTGAAACGACTTTTGGAGGTGTTGCCATGGAAACAAATATTACTATTACTGGACATGGACACATTGACAAAAAGTGCTTAGGATTTATAAAACTTAAAATAACAAAATAAGGATAATCAGCGGCGTTTACACGGCCTCAGTATTCCTTTAAACCAATGAAATGAAAACACTCAAATATATGACATTTCCCGTTTTGCCAATTACGTGCGTCATATCAAAATCATTTGTACCTTCATTGTTTTAAAAGCCAAAATAAATCCAAACATTTGACTTGAAATGTGATGGAGTTGGGCGAATTTTCTCAGTCTCCTCCATGTTTTGTTTATGAATGACTCGTCGCAGCATCCTGCGGGCGTCAAAACATCCGCAGCGACATCTACTGGACTGGAAGTTGTATTACACTTTTTGGCTGATGTGTGCCAGCCGTGTATTTATTCCTTTTTTTCAGTAAGAATCAGTGCCTGCCGTCAACAATCGATGCAGCAGATCACAAAAATTTTAATTGCAATACATCGTCATTACAATTATTTTGCACAGCCCTAGTGGCCATGTTTTAGAGTATCTACAATCAAGTTAATGTTTAATCTATTACTAAATTAGTTGACAATTATTTCAATGGTAATAATGATTTTTTTCAGACCTATATTGGTAATATATCCATTCATTCATATTCTTCCACTTATCTGTCAGGGTCACAGTGCTGTGTTTAAGTTCCCATGTTCTGAGTACAGTTTGATCCAGTCAGACCAAACATAACCGATTTCTCTAAGCATACAATGTGCCAGGGACGCAGTTTAAAGAACATCGAGTATTTGGCTCTACTTTTTGATACCATAATATCTGGGTAATGTCCTCAGAGCTGCAAGCTGGTCATTTTCTCTCTACTTGAGAGCTGTTTTTCCGCTGCCTCTGCTGGAGTCTCATATTAGGAGAGAATGGATGCAGAGAGTGACAAACTGTCATAAACCCTGTCAGCTTTATGACTTTATGTTGTTACTGTAGTTGAGGTTACTGGTCAGGAGGACTCTTTATGGCAACCTGTGTGTAGAAATACTACAACTAACTGATCTAAATGGGCGTGAGCGATGTAGACTTATTCAGGGATTCTTTTTTTCTTAGGAGCCAACAGCAGCTTGTTTTCTGCTGATGAGGCAGAAATATGTTCACCTGCCGGTTTTAATGGTGCAGGGTTCACGTTTTCACAGCCTTTCCCTCATGTATATGTGCAAATAAGTAAGTAAATGTTTTTAAAAACCCAGTTTCTGCAGCTGTTACGTTATTAAAAGTCAGAATGTCATCGTAATTCCATCGTAATAACGACGTACAACCAACATCTGTGCTGAAAAGAGCATATCGGCCTGATTTTCAGCATAATAGTAACTTGCAACTTCCTCCTACGCCGAAACATACTGGTGAAAATCCTGTTATCTTCTCCTGTGCTTCTGGAAATCAGCCTGGCTTTTTTTAAAATCTGTTTTTGAATAAATTTGCACCAATTAGATCAATGTGTTTTATGTTTCTGCTTTCAATTTGCTCGTACCACTAACATGCTGCCTTTGGACTGGACTGATCTGGGAAGGAAAGCAGCTAAACTCCTCACAGCAATCCCCCAAAATGTCTTATGAAATCATAAATGACTGTAGATGGAAAACTTGTTCTGTTTAGATATATATACAATAATGATTAAGTTGACTTAATGGATTAACATCTGAGCTGAAGTGATCTACCTGTCTGTCTGTGTCGCAGGTGTTCAGGGAGGACAGCATCGTCTCAGGATATCGTCATCCTCGGAGCTCCGCTATGGACTGCATCCTCAGCAGCTTCCAGATGAACAACGAAACCATCAACATTTGGACCCACTTCCTGCCCACATGGTCGGTGAAAACCGTCTCTAAGCAGAGATGGGTTTTATATATATCTATGTCTCTCAGTAATGTGGTTTCTGTATCCCATGGCTGCAGGTACTTTGTGTGGCGTTTCTTGGCTCTGTGCTCCACCATGAACTTCCCGAGCGACAGCTACACCTGGCCCCTGCTGGTCTACATGCTGCTCATCTGTATTTACCCCTTCACCTCCAGCTGTGCCCACACCTTCAGCTCCATGTCCGCAGAGTCCCGACACATCTGCTACTTCTTTGACTACGGAGCTCTCAGCCTCTACAGTCTCGGTAAGGTGCCTGCTGATTGGAGGACAATCAATTAGAAACAACCGAATTCTGCTGTGGATTTCATCAAATATTTAAATCACTTTTATCTGGAGAGACAAAATATACTATAGTGAACTCGGTCAATTTACCACAGCGGTCCGCTGTGACAGCAAATACCATAATGCTTTGCTAAGAGAGATCTCCACGCAAAGCATTCTGGGATATATCTGCCTCTTCTGAGGCCTTTCTTTTCTTCTCATACACTTCGTAGATACCATATTTGATTTTAAAAACTGTCCTGATGTAATGATGTAATAAGGTGTAACGTTTTTCCCAAGGCCTTCCGACGAGAGACGATCATCCTCTGTGCTTCAAAGTGGACAGGAGGGGATTCTCCCTGCATTCATCCTGAGTTTTACATCAGCTGGAGTCTCCCAGTTAGATCAAAGCACCCAGTAGAATTTAACAGACTCCATAATAATGTGTGTCTCTGTCATTTCTATCGTGTAATTTAAAGTCGTAGGGAAATCATATTTAAATATTAAATCATTCTGGCTTAAACATGTATATAAATATACTCTTTATCAGACCATATTGTCCCAAAATTTCTACAAAAAAAAACAACAACCCTGTTTTAAAATCAGGCCAGTTAGTTATACGTCAGCCTGAACACCTAAATTCGGCCAATCATATATCAACGGTCATCTGTCAATCAAATTTTTTCGGTCATAGCATCTTGATTCATATGTCGCAGCTAATATACGCAAAGGTTGAAATCAGAATAATTTCCTTTCCCATTGAGTTTGCTTCCCAGTGTTCACGGGGATGGACGTCTGTGTCTTCGGCAGGCGTAGAGCTAACAGAACTGGCAGCGTTGCAAGGCAAGGGCTCAAACATGTACGGCTGGAAGCCTTCTACACCAAACCAAGCTTCTGCCGCCCTGGCGTCCTCTTCCACAACATCTTCGTCCCCGCTTTCCTCCTCTAAATAAAAAATGGATGATGGAGGAGACTCATCCACGACCTCCGACACTAAACTCTCCTCCTCTTGCATGTTTCCACTGTCCATAGCGTTCCTTGACAGTGTCGTTTCTTAGTCACCAATTTAGTGCTACTTGGTCCCAATGGAATTTCCCATTGGGAAACTACTAGCACTAAGATGCTAACTGGTTAGCATGATGCTTCAGAGAAACCGGCCACAACCAAAAAGCTTTAGAACCTTCCGCCACAACAATCCCGCCCCCTTGATAATCAACCAATCACATTCACTTGATTGACTTGTGTAAAGTTGTGCACCACTCAGGAATTTGGAAATGCAACGGTTGGAACAGCCGCTTCCCTACGACTTTAAGGGAAAAAAATTAATTAATCAAATTTGTTATGAAAAATATTAGAGATTAGATTTTTTTAAACCATATCGCCCAGCCCTAGTGACTTCAGTAACACAAGAAACATTAGGTGCACTCATATTTATAATCAGATTTTCACTGTGAATTAAATATTTACAAATCCTCAGAAGCCTCTTTAGACCTTGTATAAAATCCTAGGGACTGAATTTCACTTCCTTCTAGTCTGTACTGTTGGAACTAAAGGTTTTCCTTTGCTTTTTTTTAAAGTCAGATAAAAAAACATAGAACCTGATGAACAGAATATGAAAAACATTTCTCATGCGAAGCATTTCCTCACACAGGTGGCCTGAACAGCAAAGAAGAGCAGTCTTCATAGAAACATTTCTGAAAGGTCAAATGCCAAACCGTCAGCCTGTTCAACCCAATTATTCACCTTATTAGAGACGAAGCATGTGGACCATTTCTGACGAGCTTCAACAGATGAATGTTTTCTCTTTTTTTGACTTGCAAATTCCCAACAGTTAAATTCAAATGATGTTAATTTCATCTTTGTTCCAGAGCCGTCTCCTCGACGACCTCGGCTCGTCTTATTTACATGTCAGAAGTTCATATGATAACGTTTTTCTGCTCCTGGTGTGCATGCAGACGCTGATCCTGTTGATGATGCAGATTATATGTATTCTACCTGTGTAAACATTGAACCATTTCAACATACTTGGTCCAGGATTAAGAATAATCTGAAGAGGAATAACTACACTATTGAGTCAAATGTAGAAGATTCTGAAAAATCTAAATAGCAAAACCAAAGTAACCAAATGCTGCACTGAACTGGAATAATCCAGTTTATCTAAGGGCCAACTTGATCTCTTTTATCTGCAGATAAAAAGGAGCAGGTTAAAAGTTGGTCCTTTGGGGGCCTCTAGTGGTTAAATCCGGAAGAGCACAGAAATCCTACCTTATATTTCAACATGAAACCCACAGATGATGGTGTGAATACAGTCAAAATGTATTTTAACCCACAGAGTTTGTTCTGATTCCTGAGGTTTGGCCACATTTTCAGTCGAAAGTTAAATAGCAATGGATCCTCTGAAGGAAAAACACGTGAGAGGCTGTTGATCATTCCTGCTTGTTTCCAGGTTGTGCCATCAGCTATGGGTATTACGTGATGCCAGACTGCTGGGTGAACAGTTGGATCCATCAACACTTTGTTCTCATCGCCATCGGGAACTCGCTGTTCTGTACCAGCATTTCCTGCTATTCCAGGTAAGGGGAGCCTAGAGACGGCAGCTAAAAACCCACAATAGAAGACTTTTGCTCTTTATTCTTCAGAAGGATCTAAAATATATCGTTTATCAGATTTCAAATGTAAAACCTTGAGGTTTGAGATGCATGAAAGAAAAAAATCTGGGCCTACACTGGAAAAATGATCTAAAAATAAGTAAAAAATGTCTTAAATTGAGTGTATTTACCCTTAATTTGAGTAGATAAATGAGGTGGTTTGCCAATGGATTTAATATTTTTACTCTTAGAATAAGATAATTAGATAAAATGCACTTGAAATGAGACAATGCAAGTGTGTTTTCTTATTTTAAACGTAAATTGTCTTGTTCCATTGGCAAAATGTCACTTTTACCTCCTCAATCCAAGAACAAATCCACCTATTTTAAGAAAAAATTACTTATCTAGATAGGGATTTTTTCCAGTGTATAAGATCTGACAATAATCTTCTTAAAATAAGCAATATTAACCGGCATTGTATCCTATGTAAATTATGGTATTTAGGATATATAGGTTCTCGACACCATTGTAAAAACTCACTATAGTGCTGATGTTGCTGTGTCCTTTATATAATCCTGACTTCATAAATGTGGCTGTAAATCTAAAGAGGTCACATGTGTATATAAGTAATCATACCAACAGCTTTATTCAAACCCATGAACTACTTTCCATGTGCATTTGGAGCGTTTTACATGAGCAGATTTAATACCATGAGAACACCAATATGTCTCTGCTTGTAGATTATCTCCTAATTGCACGTGAACCTGTTTCTGCACTGGAAAAAATCTAAATGTATTCATTCATAAGTCGTTTTTTCTTTAACTGAGGAGGTAAGTGAGACCCTTTGCCAATGGAACAAGACAATTTACATTTAAAATAAGAAAACTATTTATTTGTCTTGTTTCAAGTGTGTTTAATCTAATTACCTTGTTTTAAGAGTAAAAATCCTCATTGCATTGGCAAATCATTTTATTTACCTACTCGAATTAAGGGTAAATACACTTGGTTTGACTTATTTCTAGATCGTTTTTGCAGTGTGTGTGCATGTTAAAACTTCTTTCCTTCTTAGGGTGGAAACAACCCCAGCCTGTGATTGGCTACTTTTCAGGAAACCCCGCCTCCTTAAAGGGGAACGCCTTTTTTTTTTTATTTTTTTTTTTTATTTTTTTATTTTTTTTACATTAGGCCCTTGATTTTCCGTTATTCCATCATGTTCTACTCACCCATATTAGTTTTGTGTCATTTGGAGCCGTTCTGAAGATATTCCGTTAGGTTATATCCAAGTAACGTCTTCCTATGGGCAACGACTTGAAGGCACAAACTAAACTATTCATGATTTATCATTTATGGTACGCCAGCATTCATAACATGTAGGCGAAGCACTGTCCCCCAGACATCCACGGTTTGATTTTTTTATATTTATATTATTTTAAAACAAAGCGGCGCGTGTCTGACGTCATCTGCGGGCCGGACCGGAGTCGTGACAGGCAGCCAGGGCCACAGCCGGCTACGCTCTACCCCTTCTATTCATTCTAGCTAATTTGAATCGTTCAATTCCATTTGGAGAGCGAGATCATCTGTGGTAGCAGCACTAGACATCTTCCAGGCATGTGAGGAAAACTAGCAGTTCAGCCGACAGGATGAATGAATGGTAGCCGGCGCGCGCAGATGACGTCATACACGCACCGCTTTGTTTTTAACAAAATGGGTGATGAGTGTGATTTGCACCCCTAGTATGAGACAGGGGGAGAGACATGCGGCAAACGACCACAGGTCGGATTTTTACCCGGGTCGGCCATATCGAGGACTAAGGCCTCTGTAGATGGGTTTTGTCCGCTAACCCCTGCGCCACCGAAGCACGCCCCAGAAACTACTTTCTGACTTTTGAAATTATTTTATCAAATTTTTTTCCAGTTATCAGCCACTGACCTGTTTAGAATATACTATTTACTTTCCGTAAAAATTCAAAAAATATCCACTGGACTGGTTTCCAAGATTTGAAGACGTTTCGCCACCTCTCCAGGAAGCTTTCTCAATTCAAATGTCTGGATCTGCAGTGAGTTTGAATCTTATATAGACAAAGACTTGACTATGACTATGACCTGGATGACTGAGAATCTTCATCAGCATACTATTTACTGCTTGTTTGCACACATGCTGTATTCAGGACTGATGCTGGTCTTTGGCCGTGTGGTGATGCTTGGTACCGCCGTCGCTCCACCCGCTAAGCCTTCTGCTGAGCATTCTACACATTCCTCTGCAAATTTCAAATCCTTTTCATAGAAGCAGCCTGTCTCCATGTGGATCAAATTACGGGGAGTATTTTTAATACTGTTTAATTTAAATGTTTTTAAGTTACGATTTTGTTTGAATTTAATTAAAAAACCGCCTCAGCTGGAAGCGAGTTCAAATCTAAAAAGTGTGACTCCTGTTTCCAGTGTGTTTCACTGGGCTTTGCATTCTTCCCTCTAACTGAAAGCATCTGGATCAGCATTACGGCCGTCATGCGGCCTTTAAACTCCCCCATAGAGACCAAATTCTTTTAGCTTAAGCGGCCCTGGAACTCGATTATCAACCCTGGAAAAGCAGCTTGACTCGTTCAGGAACACAGGCTGGTTTTATCCGACGGAAATCTGCATGGAGGAGGTTCAAAGGTTTTCCTTTCTCTTTTGCACAGATTCGTGGAGCTGCAGTTCCCAAAGAGAAGTAAAGCCTTACGAACAGGAGCGTTTGTTGTGCCCTTTATTTTCGACACGGCCCCTCTGTTTTACAGGGTGAGTCCTCTTCATTCTGGAAACATCTTTTTAGTTATGTAAGCTCCCAGACGTTATTAGCATCAGATTTGACCCAGGATCTGATTCCATACAATTAATAGCATTAATGGGTTTGATAATCTGTTAGATAACAAGTCTGTTATGCAATCTAACATTCTGTAACCATGAAGTTCTTATTGTTTTTTTTTTTTTTTTTTTTTTTTTAAGGTACTGACCTGCTTCTGGGACGGCAGCAGCCCCAGTGACGCCCTGTCCAGTCACTGTTACCACCTCCTCTTCGCCTTCCTCACCTGCTTCCTGTTTACCGCCCACCTCCCAGAGAGGTTGGCCCCGGGGCGCTTCGACTACATCGGTATGAACCCCACCCTCCTTTCGCCGTCTGAGCTTTCTGATAGAGAAGCAGCCAGAAGGAGCATGGTAACTCTGGAGGAGCTGCAGCTCCTCTGGGAGAATCTGTCCACAAAAAAAATATTAATAATGCAAAAAAGAATTAAAAAAAACAAACAAACACAACAGAAGATTATTACTGAGAGAGAGGAGGAGAAATTATAAGAGGATGTGGTAAAAAAACAAACTGTAAAGCGCTGCATACAGTGTTAATAAGGGCTTATCAAAAGATTTTTGTTAAATTATTTAGGGATATTTAGTCTGAGAGTCAGGCAATGCAGGCTAACCTGACTCCGCCAGATGGATTTGCTCCGCATATCCATCTGGAAACCTTCCATAGAAGTAATTTTGGGAAGGGGTTAAAATACTGGTTAGCTGATTGGCCTATGTTGGTGATAGACGGGCCAAATAAACCAATCAGATCAATGAAGCATACGACGTACTAACAGAGCGACGACGAAGAGGAGCCAATTGATAGATCAAACTCTTGCCGAAACCAGTCGGGAGAAGAGCAAAAACATCTTTTCCTCTGAGAAAAGCCTCCAGAGCAGTGTTTTGCTCTTCTTTCAGTGAAGAAATACTCTGTAATTCCGATAAAACTTGCTCGATAGCCGCGCTAACGCTAGTTTCATCGGCTGAAGCCGCCATGTTCTTTAGACTGAACTGTCTCGTTGCGTCACACCTCAACCCGCCTCAAAGCCAACGCTGATTGGACGTTCGTTTGGTGAACGGCTCCAAATTTTCTTTAACGGAGAGTCTCCAGACTGATTAGCGAGTGAGATCAGGATGGTCTCACGAGGCTAGGGTTTCTCCTCTTGAATATATGAAAGACAGTCACAAATAAATAAAGGAGGCAATGACAGAAAAAGTGAAAGAGCTAAGAAGCCATGAACAGCGGAACATCAAAAATCTGTTGAGCTTCAGGAAGTAGTTTTGTTTTTGAAATAATTTCAAGATATTACATTGAAGGGGTTTCATGGACTGGAGTTTGTCCAGGTTTGTTTATATCAATATTCTCATAGTAGCGGCTAAAATCCTATATTTTAGGCTACTGGTTGCTATTCCTGAAAGGCATCGGTTTTTACGTGCGCTCAATTAAGATTATCATGCCGATCTTTACTTTGACTTATAATAAAGTCATTTATTAACAGAATAGAGTCAATAGTTTTACTCCTTTCCTTTACATAAACATAAATTCGACATTAATCTAAACCAAACACAGTAAAAACGGTTTCCTCCTCTCATTAACAACACCTACACTGGAAAAAAATCGAAATCTAGATAAGTCATTTTTGCTTAAAATAAGGAGGAGGTAAAAGTGGTTTTGCCTAACAATTTACATTTAAAATAAGAAAACGCTATTGCATTGTCTTTTTTGAAGTGCTGGCGGCAAAAACACAGGAGAGGACAAATGAGCAACAAATAAAGATATGTTTAAATATACATAAGAGGCAAATCAAGTTTATGCATTCGTTATTTTGCCAGTTTAACAGTTTGTAGCTTCATATAATGGACAAATATTTGTCACAGGTCTTTCAATAATGTTTATTTTTGTTTGCATCAGACCCTTTTTATCTGGAAAAGTTTGAATAACCTTTCCTTATATCCAAGATCCTCAAGGTGTTGAGTCCATAACTACCACCTTTTTTTTCTTTATCCATTTTTGTCGTTCTTGTAATAACGGTAGATATTCTCGAATCCAACATTTCCAAAATAGATCTCAAATGTATTGGATTAGTTATATCGCATCAACCAGAATAAGGAAATGATTCATAATGAGTTTTGTCCGTATTTTCCAGCCCTGGTCTACATTCTGTTGCGTTGCTAATCTCTCTGTTCATTATAAAACAAACACTATTCGCTAATGTGAAACATGGTAGTGGCAGCATGATGCTGTGGAGATGCTTAACTCGGCAGGAAACGAGGGAAATGTTCAGTTTATGGGAACATGGAGGAAATGCAATAACTGGAGGTAGTTGAAGAAATTCATTCAGCTTTCTGCAGAAGAAAAACACTAAACCTAAAATAAGGTTTAAAGTGATGCATCCGTTTCTAACAGATTTGTACTTCTTCGTGTTTGTTGGTCTGTTGTATAAATTCCCAATAAAAAGTACTGAAGTGGTTTAATCAGTTTAAGCAATTTTCCCATTAGAGAAAGAAATCTGTGCCAAACTGTTAAATAACGTCGTCTTTAATCTCAGCCTGAACAATATTGGCTCCACATCAGAGCGGCTTTTCATGCGACTCCTCCAATTGTTCCTTTGCTCTACTTTGTTTGTTTGCTTCTTCCAACTTTTATTGTTAGGAATTATAAAGAAGAGGAAGCAGAACTGGTTTACAACAGAAGCCAAATGATAAACAGTCTTTCTTTATTTGAAGCTACAAACGTTGAACAGAAATCAAAAGATTTAGTGTGTTACCTAATAGGCTTGACTTTGTTTTACTGCAGATCACAGAATATTCTCCATAAAATCCCTTTTTTGATCCCATTCTGTTGTCCTTATCTGACAGTTATTCATGCTATAACCCTTTAGGACAGATATGTTGCTTAAATCAGTTCTTACAAATACTGAGTTTCTCAGATACTTATTTAAAGTTGTTTAGTACCAAAAACATATCAAAATCTAATCATAATTAAAAAAGGTTTTATACACAGAACATCCGTCCTGATAGAGCAGGGGCTCAAGTCCAGTCCTTAAGAGCTAATATTCTGCAACTTTTTGATGCACCTCATTTTTATCACTCCTGAATAAAACGAGTTGCTTGTTGCCGCGCCTCTGCTGGGCTAATTGAGGGGTTGACCCTTTTCATTCAGGTGTGTTAGAGAAGAGATGCTTCTAAAAGTTACAGGATGGTAATTCTTTAGGACAGGATTTGAGTACCCCTGAGATAGTTTAATACCCCATTTCCACTACCCTTGAAAAAACGATCCATGCCGAGAACAGTCTGAGCTCGGTTCTGACGACGGTTTACACGTCACGCTATCTCGGTTCCTCGACTCCTCGCCTCCTAGTGACAATCTGCGGTATTACTGCCAGTATTGATGGAGGAAATCAAGCAGTTGGTGGCAGTAATGCACCAAAAGTTGTTTGCCAACCGCCATTAAACACAAGAAGAAGACGAAGAAGGAGGGAATCAAGCAAATCTAAAAGGTGGCGCCCGTCACATTCAGAAAGTTATGCTTGATTATTATTGCCGTACTTCGATGTTTGCGGAGGGTCATTCGAAGACGGCAACCTTTCGTAGATGTTTATAGTTGTTTATAGTTGTTCTTCTGTTTTGTGTTGGTTTGCAAGCAACTTCCCGAAGGGGCAATTCCGCCAACTACTGGAATGGAGTGTGAATGGCGATGTGCAGCCAGACGGAGATGACGCGTTCTGCTCATGCGCTCTTGTTATCAGAGAACCGAGCCAGGGAAAAACCGAGCCGAGCCCACCTCTGGAACTGGTCTGCACTTAGCTCGGTTCGGTTGTGTCTAGCTCGGTTCAGTTCAGTTTGCTTTCCATTTACACACCATAAGTTATCTCAGTTACTGAGCTCGGACCGGTCTCGGCACGGTTTTTAAAGGGTAGTGTAAATGGGGTATATGTCGCCCTTTTTAAGCCTAAATGGAACCCCAGCACCCGGTGCAATGAGCAGACATAAACGGATGTAGCGCCATCTGCTGGCAGTACACCGCACTATCAGAAAGCCAGACGGCTACTGCCAAATTTACCCCTTTCCCACTGGCCAAAAAACCCTTTAATCTCAGGAACAGTGGGGTTTTAGTGGCAGTGGGAACAACTCCCTGACGCGTGTCCACCTGGGTCAAACGACTTACCAAGCGACCCACGGTAAATTAACCTTGGGTCTGATAAACATGCTTTGGGAACACCACTCCTGGATCGATTGGCTAATTTACGTAATGCTACTGAATGCGATTTAAGGACGTCCCTCAGCAGTCTGATCTAACCAGCAGAAACACCTCTGTTTAAATTTTATTAAATGGAGCAGCTTTGGTGAGAGGGATTCAGACAGATAATGGAGCGAAAACATTAAAGCTCACTAACTTCGTCCTGGCTTCCTCACATATTTCTCTCCATTGTTTACTTCCCTGATTTCCATCGCAGTGTTGATATCAAGGTTTAGAAAAATGTTAGAAAAATGTTAAATGAATCGACTATACCTCTTCAAGAAAAACGTTTTCTGCCAGTTATTATTTTGTTTTGTCTGTGAATGAAGGAAATACTTGCAAGGACCAAATGAGGTCCAGATCAAAAGCAATGATGAGATTAAATAGATTACTGTTAGATGGTATATTGGAAGTAGATGACTGAATTTGGGGGGAAAAAAAGCTTTTCCAGTTTTTATTCTGCAAAGCGTGACCTCTAAACAGAACTAAGACAAAAAATATGAGATGATAATAAATAATTGGCTGAATTCCAAAGTCTACTGGAAGCGTGTCTGGCTGCATTTTCCCAGTTTTAGATTAAAGGATCTCTATGGATTAAGAAAGAAAATAGTTTTGTTTTTAGATGTCTTCATTAGCTTTCCTAACAAAAAACAAAACAAAAAAAAACACTACTCTGCAAAAACTGTTCTAAATAAGCAAAATATGTATGTTTGTCCTAAATCTAAGCAGGTGAATTAGAGGATCTGTGAACAGGAGTGTTTGATGATAAAGTACATGATGATGATAAAATGTTTTTTTTTTCTTGTTTTAAATGTAAATCACCTGATTTTATTGGCAAATTGTCTCACTAGACTCAGATCAATGGAAAATACATAAATTCAAGAAAAATTGACTTATTTACATTTATTCTCAGTGCATGGGACAAAGATGTGACCAATGTGCCGCAGAATTTCACACCTTTCCAGGCATGAAGGAAGCCATCTATGTTAAGAAATAACCAGCCTTAAACAGAGGGGGTGGACTCCGATTTCAGCTTGAGTTGATTCCTTCCCGCTATCATCGCAACCCCCACCCCCTTACAGGGGAACAGAAGACTTCACATGTTCAGCCAGGCCAACAATTCCCTCTAATAACCTCCCTTTCACGGACAATACCAGTTTTGGGCATTACAGGCTAAGAAAGAACCCAAACGACCCCCATTCCTAAGGGGTGGACCCGTTCGTCTGGTTTAATTTGCATGTTTTCCAAGCTAAACCAAGGCTTTGTTTTTGGTCCACTCTATAAAGCCTCAAACTCGACGCTATTTCTGACATTTTTAATTAAAAAAACTTCCTTGATGGGAAGTGAAACATCTTCAAACTTGGAAACAAAGTCCAGGGGATTGTTTAGAATTTTTTTTTTTTAGGAATTCAGATGCTTTCATTGAGAATCAGACGGTTCTTAACAAAATGTAAAATAATGTGTTTTATTTATGATTAGTTTGACTTTGTAGCTTCATGACAGGAAGCTCAGAGATGTGTAACCTCTCATCCTTAAGGTGAAGCCTTGCGTCTCTGTCCATCACTGACCGTCTCCTGTGCTCCTTCCTTCAGGCCACAGCCACCAGCTGTTTCACATCAGCGCCGTGGTGGGAAGCCACTTCCAGATGGAGGGCGTCATAGCGGACATGACGTCGCGCAGGGCGTGGCTCCAGCTCCACGGGGCCATGCCGTCCTTCCTTGGGACCATCGGGGCGCTCGCCGTCAGCCTCACCCTCAACCTGGCCGTCATCGGCATTTTCAGCGCCCCGCTGCTGTGGAGGACCAGAAACGGCTCCACCCAGCAGCAAGCCTGCAAGGAGCAGTAAGGAAACAAAACAAAAGTAAAACTAAGGACTCAGTTGCTTTCCAAAGGAAAGGTGTGACTTTCCATCAGCTGGTTTAACAGTTTTCTCACTCGGGTTATTTTAAGGGCTCATGTTTTTACCCAGCAGCTGAAGACCCACCTTACTTTATACAGCCTTGCTCTGACGCTGACGTCAAGGAAGGTTCCGGGTTGCAGGACGCTTGCTGTTTAACAACAACATCTTATTTGAATGTTTTAAACCTCCAACCAGAAAAAAAACTCATCTTGAATTTAGCAAATTTCTAAAAAAACAAAAAAAAACTCATCCTAAATATTCCTAACTAGAGCGAAGGCCGTTTGGCTCTCTGCGAGCATAACGGCTCCGTTAAATAACGCCGCTTGGATCGGCAGCCCTTAAATGTCCGCCTATCGATTCCCATCCCGGCTGACGGGAATTGATTTTCAAGCCATTTGGTTTTTCTTCCTTTCTTTGATCCTGATTGCCTGCCTCATTATGAACCACGCAGTCTGCCCTCAACCCGCCGGGTTACCGCGGCAGCGCCGAAGTGGCCTCTCATCCTTCGTCGTTCATATCAGCAGATGTTTTAAATACGGTGAACTCAAACACATTTGCCTTACAAGACGTTGGCGGGATGAAAACACACCTAAAGCAAAGTTTATTATGATTATTAACATTTATTAAGGCATTTGTGAAAACTAAAGAAAAACTCAGTTATGCTTCTTATATCTCAAGCCAGAGGACTGTTTACATTAACAACTAAAAATCTTTCCTTTTAAGCTTTTAATGGTTGTTTTAGATGCAAAATACGATGAAAAGGTTATTTTTTATTTACTTGTATTTATCTGAAAAGTAGAAAGTTCTCTCCGCTCATTTTATGATCTTAATTAGCCTAAAACAAGTGGAAAATAAAACAGATGAAGAATTTAATAAACCCTTTCCAGTTTTCAGCTGAACAGATTTTTTCGTTAACTTAGATTTTCTGTATTTTTATTTCATGATCATTTTTTAGTCCTGATCTATGTGGTAAACCAGGGAATCTTAAGGAGGATTGATGGGATAAATTTGAAAGAATAAACCATGCAAAAATAAAAAAAAAGTTGAAAATGCATTTAAAAACTGATAAAATGTATGTTTTTTAAAATGATAAAATAAAGTATGTAGAGTCAGAATCCATAAACCTTCAGTGTGAAAAAGAAATACTGTTATTTAATGTTTTTTGTCTCAATTAGCATTAAAATAATAACAGACACACTTTGGAAGCTAACAGAAAAGCAAAAAGTGCATAAATCCTATAAATGGTTCAAAATAAAACCAGCTGATTTCTGAAAACTCGTCTGTTTTCCTCTTGTTTCAGGAGAAATTTTAGATCTAAATGAGCAAAAATAATTTCGTAAACTCATATAAACCAGCACTAAGAGGAAAGGATTGTTTATTAGAAGCCGATGAATTTCGACTAGATGTAGAAGTTAACATTCTGCAGATGAAGGTTTTCAGTACTCCTCATTTTAACGGACTAACAGACTTAAAATCTTTCTAAAAGAGGTTTTCTTTAGCAGTGTAACAAACTCTTCCTCTAAACACAAACACTGAGTCGGAACGACTGAATCGGCGGGAGAACTGTACGTGATTAGAAGGGAGCGAGGTGGAGGGGTTCAGGTCCGCGTCGGACGCTGAGGTGGAAACGGACAGAAAGTGAACAGTAGAAAACACAAAGTAAGAATCCACTTTTTAGGTATTTCCAGGGTCGCGGTGGGCGGGGGTATGAGCACCCTTTGCTCTCATCAGGGGTTCTTTATTTTTTCTCCTCTCCTGCTGCTCAGCGTTGGTCGTCAGGTTTCAACATTCCCACGTTTGGTCCTGTTGGTTTGCTCTATTCTTTCCCCCTTTAAACACAATTCTCAGATTTTACATTTCATTCTAGCTGCATGATTTTTGGCCAGAAACTCGAACCTGGCTGACCTGAACATGACTGGATCACTGTAATGTTTATGCAGCTCATCTGTTTGGTCTCTGTGGACAGAGCCATGCAGATTACTTTTTGGCATTTTGTTTTTATATACAGTTTCTTCCAGGTTTTTTTTGTTTGTTTTTTGATTACATGTAACTTAAACGTGTGATTTTGCAGATAGATGAGGATGGTGATGTTATAGGTTAGTGGAGGGAAAAAACTATTGGTGCCTTTTTAAAGAGAAATGTGTTGCATAGCTTGTTTTTTTTTATCGCAAAGTTCTTTAACGGTATAAATACTTTTTTATTGTATTATGTATCATTTGTAATATGCTGCTTTCTTCTAATAGAAATTAAGATTAAATTAAAGCTTTTATAAAAGTAGTGTTTGTCACTGGCATTATTGTCCAATAAAGCAAAATTTAATGCATTTTTTTAGCAACGGTTTCAGAGTTTCTCTAAATGTGCCGTCAGACTGCTGAAAAATCACGTTACCACCAGTGCAGAGCTCAATCTGCACTGGCAGCAGGTGCTTGCCGGGAGCAATGGTGGAGAGAGGACGACTCGGGCAAAGAGAAGAAGGTAATTAACAACACAAAAAAGGCATTCAATATTCTGCCAAAAAAAAATACTTTTTTATTTTACATGCATCTGTATCCTTTTTAGTGTAAATCTGGGTAGTTTGTTCATATGGCCACCAGGGGGCAGTGCAGAACAAGATGCATTGTTCAGGCTAAACAGAATTTGTCCAACTCTTCATTGCTCATTTTTTTATTTAGAAAAATTTGGGAGGGGGGGGCAAAGATTTTCTGTTGGAAATTCAGCGTTTAATTCAAAATATTTGGCTTTAAGCCACCTTTATTTCATTTAATTTAATTTCACATTTATATTTACATTTTATTTCAGACATTTCAATTATGTGGATCATTCTTTTATTTATTTTATTTTAATCTGGGTTTATTTCCTAAAAATGAACAAAAACCCTATGAGACAAGTTTACTCTAATCAGTCTGGTTATAAAACGCAGCGAAGCTACGTTTTGTTTTTAACAGCTTTTAGATTTTTCTCTCTAACAACTTGTGTCGTTTTTGTCTGTTTTTGTTTTGATTCATTAGGTCCCTTTCTTTCCTGCTTCCAGAACCTCACAAGGTGGCCTGCAAAGCACAGAGTGGTTTATTATTAGCCGTAGACACGGGCCACAATGAATTGGCTCTGCCATTATCCTAAAAGAAAAAATTATTATGAGAAATCAATATCCTGTGTGCGTACATTATGAGATGAGGTGAAGGACTGAAAAGGAAAGTTTCCTGCTGCAAAGCTCTAATAGGACTTCCATTTTAAAAATGGCCTCATTTCCAGCTCTTATTATCCTCCATATTCAACATCCAACCAGGGTGGAGCCTCGAGTGCTTATTAAAAAAGGTTCATTCTGAAACCACAAAGGGAGCCTTAAGGAGACCAGGGACAAATACTACATACTGTTCTAATCCTATCTGGCTTGAATCTGCTTGTAAGACACTAGAAGAAACAATACGCCAGACACGAGGTCCTCCAAGTGGGTTTTTTTTTTTTTTTTTTTTTTCACCCTTTGCCCCCCTCCTTCCTCCTCACCCGGTCCACCAGGGAAAGAGGGGAGAAAGGGATGATAGCATTACTCACAATCCATTACCCCTCCCCGGAGACACTCTGCATACAGAGGGATAGAGGGCGGGGAGGGAGGTGAGTGCAGGAACAGTGGGGGGGTGGAGGGGGTGTTTGTTTGCTGGAGGGGTGACAGTGAAACCTGATTATTCCTTTTCAATAACCATCTTCTGAGCATCCCAAAGAGGTTGCTGATTAGTTGGTCCAAATAAGAGAAGGTTCTTGAATAGCTTGTTAAGATGCCCGACTTAAAGTACAGACAGCAGCGCCGATCATTATTCGCTCTGAAGGGAATCTTAATGATGGATTGACCGATGCAGAGAAATTTTTTTTTTTACTTTATTTTTAAGGTTCGACAGAGTCAGAAATTTACCTACGTTTACGCTCTCCGTTTATTTATTGAACTCTTATTTCAATTCAATTCAATTTTCAATTCAGTTTATTTCTATAGCGCCAAATTCACAGCACATGTCATCTCACGGCACTTTATAGTTCAACCAGATCATACAGGAAACACACAGCCAGGTAGACGAGCTCCAAGCCAGAGGACGAAGAGAGCACATCCACTCAGTCACGGTCAGAGAAACAGGACCACACTGGAAAACAGGCCGATCTCCAACATCTATAAACAAAGGTGTTGATGGAAGCAGCACAGCTGATGTTTCTCTCCAGGATGGCGTCACAGCCAAACAGGAACAGACGAGGCAAAGCTACTCTGAATAATGCAGAGCGGAAAGATTTAAGAACACGAGGATTTTAATAAAAGAGCTGAATTCATTTAGTGTGATTTTCCTCTCTTCTAACTGGAACCAAATTATACAAAAATCCCAGCTAACTTGATTCAATTTTAAATTTTGTCAACCAAACATCTTCTGCAGGTTTGAGGTTGGGAATTTGGGAAACTAAATAATTCCTGATGTGTTTGGACCGTTTCCCTGCTTAATTCAATTCAAATAATAATAAAAAAAAAAAAAACCTTATGGATTCCAAATCTAACGTTTTTTCCCTCCCAAGGAGTAATAGATGCTGATAGTTGGACACAGAAGAGATTTCCTGTAGCAGCCTGTTTTATTGTGGTTCTTAAGGTGCCTTTAATTGCCAACACTTCCCATTGATCTGGTGAGGACGTTTTTATCTACCCAGAAGTTTATATATTCAGCCACTGATGTCCTCTCCATGTGACTGAATCCCAGTTTATAGCCTCAAAACAACTTTGCAGAGTTTCTTCATCTTCCTGGGACCTTCATCCAATAGTTCTTTTTAATGCAGGGCGTCTCTTATTATGAGCAGATTGTGATCCAATTACCCATGAGGAGGTTGTTCTTTAAAGTTCAAAGTTTTTTGTTTTCTCTGACACAGCATCTGTATAATTACGATGGAGTATTAGGGCCAGGCTAGAGGGTTTTTTCCCCTTCTATTAGGAGAATGAAGTCATCATACCACAATCAGTTTCAGTAGGAAAGCTTTGAGCTCCTAAAATCAGTCCACTTTGACATCCTGCCCAGTTTGATGCTGGTGATAAAAGATTTCCTTATTTGTCAAACCAAAGCCAAAATATTACTTCAAATTATGCTCAAAGTTCCTCATTATATTGAAGAAAGTGGTTCTTGTAGGAGTTATTATAAAATACAACTTGTTTCTCGTAAATTTTAGGACTTTATTCTCTGAATATTATAACTTTATTCTTGTAATGTTACGACTTTATTCTCGAAATAAAAATAAAAAAATCTCTAGCCTTGCCTTATTCTCCGTTGTGGTATAATAATCCTGCTATAAAAAAAAAAAAAAAAAAAGACTTCAGCCATCATTTGTGGTTGACTGTATATATTGTAAATATATATTTTATCTTTTTTTTTTTTATCTCTATTATCTGTGTAGTTGGATGTGTGAGAGATATATATATATATATATCTCTCTCTCTCACACATAGAGAGAGAGAGATATATATATAAAAAACTGTAACTGGAGCGTGTAAAAAAAGTTATTTCCCTCTGGGATCATTAAAGTATTTCTGACTCTGAAAAAAAAAACAAAACAAACTTTTTGACTATCTGAGCTGATGTAACAAGTAAATTTCTCCACTGTGAGATCAATGACATCAATCAATCAGACAAACTGTTGGAACATTGACAGTGTAGCAGAGAGTGAGGCCTGATAAAAATCTTATATTATTATCATAAGTAATATTATTATTATTGATGACATCACACACTGTGCTGGCACCACCAGAAGGTGGAATATTAGCATTTACCCCCCAAAAAATTAAAAACCCCAACCAACATCTGAGCTGCAGAGATGGATATTCACAGTAACATGGGCTGGATGACACCATCTGTTTTCCATAAGCACTGCCACCCCACCTCCCTTCATTTTTCAATTCAGTTCAGTTTATTTCTATAGCGCCAATTCACAACACACGTCATCTCAATGCACTTTACAGTTCACCAGATCATCCATTCAAATTGATTTAAAGTTTTCTATCTAAGGAAAACCAGTTGATCGCATCGACTAATTGACTCGAATGCAATACCTCACACTAAGCATGCTTGTAGCGACAGTGGAGAGGAAAACCTCAAGCAGAAACAGGCTCAGTTTGAATGGTCGGAAAAAATGTCAGAGAGACACTGGAGTCCTGGATTTCTCTTTGCAGCCATGTTTTAGTAAAACTCATAATGCCGCACTGCCAATATTCTGGCTGGGTCCTTGTTGGAACTTTGAGTTCTAATTTCTTTTCTAAAGGTCTAACATTACCCATAATGATTGAACCAGAGAGATGGCTTTACTTTCCATGTCCTCTCTCCTCTCATTGCTACTGCTCTGCAAATTATTATTTTGCATATTATTTTGACTTTTAAGATGCTA